GGGGGTGTGGGTGTGGTGTGGGGTGGGGGGGGTGGTTTTGTGTGTGTGGGGGGGGGGGGGGGGGTTGAGGTGGAAGATTTATAATTGAATAACTCCCTGGAGCAGGGCAGCTGGGATCGGCCCTGCCAGGAAAAGCAAACGGCGAGGAGCGAGTGAGACGTGTGGAAGTGAGAGCGTTGAGCCGCGATGATGAGGAAGATTTACTGACAATAACTGACCAATCACAAGAGCAGCAACGTCAGGAAGGTCTCTCCCCCTCTGTCTCCCCCCTCTCCCCCGTGTTAGTTTTGGATTTTCTCCAGGTAACACATGACTTTGACCCAGGTTCAGAAGCAGCGGTCAGTTGTTCTGTGGATAAACATGTTATTAACAGTCAGTAATAACTGCTGACATGACGACTAAATCAGATCCACTTACAGTCTACGGTTTACAGTCTACGGTTTACAGTCTACAGTTTACAGTCTACAGTTTACAGTCTACAGTCTATAGTCTACAGTTTACAGTCTACAGTCTATAGTCTACAGTTTACAGTCTACAGTTTACTGTCTACAGTTTACAGTCTACAGTTTACTGTCTACGGTTTAGAGTCTACAGTTTACTGTCTACAGTTTACAGTCTACAGTTTACAGTCTACAGTCTACAGTTTACAGTCTACAGTCTACAGTCTATACTCTACATTCTACAGTCTACAGTCTATAGTCTATAGTCTACAGTCTACAGTCTACTGTCTACAGTCTACAGTCTACAGTCTACGGTCTACGGTCTATAGTCTACAGTCTATAGTCTACAGTTTACAGTTTACTGTCTACAGTCTACAGTCTACAGTCTATCCTCTACAGTCTACAGTCTACAGTCTATGGTCTACGGTCTACAGTCTACAGTCTATACTCTACAGTCTACAGTCTACAGTCTATGGTCTACGGTCTATAGTCTACAGTCTACAGTCTACAGGCTACAGTCTACGGTCTACGGGCTATAGTCTACAGTCTACAGTCTCCAGTCTACAGTCTACAGTCTACGGTCTACGGTCTATAGTCTACAGTCTACAGTCTATAGTTTACAGTCTACAGTCTACAGTCTACTGTCTACAGTCTACAGTCTACAGTCTATCCTCTACAGTCTACAGTCTACAGTCTATGGTCTACGGTCTATAGTCTACAGTCTACAGTCTATACTCTACATTCTACAGTCTACAGTCTATAGTCTACAGTCTACGGTCTACGGTCTATAGTCTACAGTCTACAGTCTGCAGTCTATAGTCTACAGTCTATAGTCTACAGTTTACAGTCTACAGTCTACAGTTTACAGTCTATAGTCTATAGTCTACAGTCTATAGTCTACAGTCTACGGTCTACGGTCTACAGTCTACAGTCTATACTCTACAGTCTACAGTCTACAGTCTACGGTCTACGGTCTATAGTCTACAGTCTATAGTCTATAGTCTACAGTCTACAGTCTACAGTCTATGGTCTACGGTCTATAGTCTACAGTCTACAGTCTACTGTCTATGGTCTACGGTCTACAGTCTACAGTCTATACTCTACAGTCTACAGTCTACAGTCTATCCTCTACAGTCTACAGTCTACAGTCTATGGTCTACGGTCTACAGTCTACAGTCTATACTCTACAGTCTACAGTCTACAGTCTATGGTCTACGGTCTATAGTCTACAGTCTACAGTCTACAGGCTACAGTCTACGGTCTACGGGCTATAGTCTACAGTCTACAGTCTCCAGTCTACAGTCTACAGTCTACGGTCTACGGTCTACAGCTGTGGTAGTAGTACTCACTCTGGCTTCGACTGCTGCTGTATCATTAAAGCTTGGGTTTTGGATTTTTGAACCAGCAACATTTAGTAAATCTAAACTGTGGGCTAAAAACCATGGGCCATATATAAGAAATGGACGCAGCCAAAAGTGAAGCCGTTAAAGTAACTCTGCCTGAAGGAACCAACCAATCAGAGCAGAGTCTTCACCACTCTTTTGTTCTGATCACGAGTGAAATCTTAAAAATACAAAAAGTCCTGACCAATGGGAAATGAGAAGTGTTTGTCATATAAAATATATCATTAGAATATTTACGAGAATATATATCAATACATACATTAGGGACCGTTGTAGAAACTCCACCATAAATGTTGGAAAACGTTTAGTTTTGATGCTTTCACAGCACACACACACACACACACACACACACACACAGAGTCGGGTTATAAATAACCCCAGTGAGTCAGAGGAGACACGGCGTTGTTTGAACCCAGTCATTTAACAGTCGTTTCAAACGCTGTGTCCGCGGCTAACTGTTAGCTAAAAAGTGTTGCATCGTTCCTGCGACCTCTTCTCTGACCTACGCGACAGGAAGTTCATCATGAATGAAATGAAGAATAATAATAAAATAATGTGAGGTTTCGCTCCTGTCCTGACTGCAGTTCAGAGCTCTTCCCATGATGCACGGCGTCTCTCTCCTGATGACCACGTCTGACCTGTTGGACTTGGCGTCAGTGAGTGGGTCTGAAAGCTCGGGTGGGGTTCTGACGGAGTCCAGAGAACCGACCGGAGACGCGATCCACGTGAAACAGAGCAGCGGCGCCGCCCTGCTGGCTTCACGGACAGGTGGGCTGCACGTCGAGCAGAACCACCCTGAACCCCCTCCACTGGCAGAAAAAGGACATTAGAATTAAAGAGAAGGTTCAATCCCTCACACACTTCACCACAGTCGTCCGTGCAGTAAAAGTCAACATGCAGTACTTCACAGATACTTGGTCCAGGTGTTTCCAAACTTCTGAATACCAGGAGTGAAGAGAGAAAACATGGCTTCTCCTCCTCCTGTTCCTCCTCCTGTTCCTCCTCCTGTTCCTCCTCCTGTTCCTCCTCCTCCACTGAGGTAACCTCTCCATCAGGTACCAATCTCAGTCCTCTCTGGAGCCACAGTTTGACTAAGGGATGGGTTTGGGGTGCGATTCCCTCGGCCCGTCCCAGATCTTCAGCCTGGTGATCCGTCTAAATCCGACTCAATCCTTCCATGTTGGACCTGGAATATTTGGACAACTGTCCGTCTGACTGGAAAAATCAATCAATCAGCTGAACCAGAGTTTGGGTGGTGTCAAAGGTCAAAGACCCCAGGGTTCAGTCCGCTGAGCTGGAGGAGGTGGAGGAGGTGGAGGAGGAGAAGTTAAAAAGTTGTTGGTGTTTTCTCTTTAACAGGAAAAAAGTCAAAACAAAGAAGAATCATAAAAAAAATGTGTTTAACATTAGACAAAAAACGTTTATATTTTTACAACATCATTTTCTCTATGAATAAAAATGAAATAAAAACGAATAATAATAATAATGATAATAATAATAATAATAATGTTGAGAAAAGAAACTTCCCACACCCCGTCTTTTTAGTGTGTGTGTGTGTGTGTGTGTGTGTGTTAACCTGGTCTGATTTATTCTGGTGTTAATTCACTTCAGTCCTGGAAATAAAAAACTGAAAATCCTGGGAATAATTTAATCCTCAACATTTTTCTTTTTAAATAATTCCCAACGCATTTCACGCCGATGTAACAACGTGTAATAATCATTTAATAAATCATGTGAATCTTGTTGTTACCATTTATTATTCATGTATTTTGTTTTTGTGAAAATGCAGAAATAAAGTTTTTAATTTGTTTAATTGTATTTTAATTTTAGAATGATTTTTAATGAGTGTCTAATTATTTCAAAAATGTTTTTTGCGTATTTTCTTTTTTAAACTGTCGCAATTATTTCGCGTCAATTCACCGCTTCTGATTGGTTAAAATATACAGTATATTCACATAAGAGCAAACATTTAAATATATTCTTAGGTATTTTAACACCGGCCTGTTGTTATATCCGAGCGCATAAATTGTAAAAAATAAAATAAACTAAAAATAATAATAATTTGGTCTTTTGGAACTTTTAATCGTCTTTTGTTTTACAGAAAAAGTTTATTTTTCAACGCACGAATATGAAGAAAATACAGAATAAGCCATGTTTAAAAAATCACTTTTATTTCTTTCCAGATCAAAGTAAAGGAAACTCGTCATTTAAATATTTAGACAATGATAATAATTCAGGTGTAATAAAAAAAAAGAGGACGTCGTTTTTTTATGTATAAAAAAAGAAACGTAAAAAAAAAAAAAAACAGAGAAAGGAGAGTTCTCTGGAAATATCTACAACATTCTTTAGAACATCCGTCCGCTCCTCACGGCCGCACCGACGGCCGGACCGAGGACCGAGCACCGAGAACCGAGGACCGAGGACCGAGGACCGAGGACCGACGGGCCGACGGGCCGACGGACTAACGCGTCTCTGTTACCTGAGAAAAAGCACCGTCACTCCCGTGACCCGGCGGTCAGTCCTGGATGGCGGCGTTTATCTGTTTGTTCAAGTCCCGGTGCCGTTTCTGAAACTCCTGCTGTAAAGTCAGAAAGTGTGGAGCCGCCATCGGGTGGAGGAGCGCCGGGGAGCCGTAGGCGGAGCCGGCGCTCAGTGGCGGGGAGTAGGCGCTGCACTGGGTCGGGGAGAAGGCTTCGATACCGGGCCTCGACTGCAAGAAAGCTTTGGCTGTGAGTGTTCCGCGGGAGAAGAAGCTGGAGAGCGCGGGCACCATGCTGCTGACAGGTGGGACCGCGGCGGGGCCGCACGGCGAGGGTGAGGGCTGGTGATGGAGGTAGGGGTAAAGCTCCAGGCCGGGCAGCTGCAGGGCCGCAGTCCCCAGGCCGTAGGTGCCGTGCGGGAAGCCGTGTAACCCGCTGGGCTCCAGGTGCTGCTCTTTCAGCGGGTCGAAACGAAAGTGCTGTCGTTTGAAGCGCTTCCTCCGCCGGAGAAAACTCCCGTTCTCGAACATGTCAGAGGAGTTGGGGTCCAGGGTCCAGTAGTTGCCCTTCCCGGGGTTCCCCGGCTCTCGGGGCATCTTCACAAAGCAGTCGTTCAGCGACAGGTTGTGTCTGATGGAGTTCTGCCAGGCGGGGAACTTCTCCCGGTAGTAGACGAAGCGGCGGCTGATGAAGTCGCAGATCTCACTGAGGGTCAGCCGTTTCTTCGGGCTCTGCAGGATGGCCATGGTGATCAGGGCGATGTACGAGTACGGAGGCTTCACTGACGCCGGACCTTTGCTTCTGGACGCGGACGCACACACCGGCACCGGGCTGCATCTGCCCCGCTCCTCACCCTCGGTGCTGCGGGACTCGTCCGGGGGCAGCGGCTGCTCCTCCCCGTCGTCTCTCACTCCTTCTTCCCCCACCACGTCGATAACGATCTCCTCCATGATTTCCGAGTCCAATGTCATAGTAAATACAGTATGTGCGGGTGAGGCTAACGCCACCTGCCAACAGGTGGGGGAGTGACAGCTCTTCGACGATATTCCTACGCACGGTTCATTTTTTCCACTCAGCAGAAACCGCAAAGGTGAAAATCCACGCGCGATCTTTCCACGGAGAACCGCAGAAAGTCCGGCGCTAAAACGTGTTGTTTACGACAACGGCAGTCTGGGCGTCACGCCGAAGAGTGTGCGCGTCCTCGGCGGTGTCCAGCATCATGTGTAATCTCAGCAGCTTTGCTGCGGCTCGGGTGGATGTGATGTCACACCGAGGCACGAGGAAACGTCCTGACCAATGGAAACGAGGCACACCAGAGCGCGGAGACCCAGACACCAGCCTCCGTCAGCATCTGGACTTCAGCGCCAGGAGGACGCGCCGAAACCCGTCCATGAAAAACAGGGAGGAAAACTCCTGGAAGTGGAATTCTTCAGTGTTCAAACGTCGCAGAATTCCAGGGATAGAAAGTAAAAGTCAACGCAGGTGATTTACGGTCTGGAGTCTGGAAGTGATTCTGGAACAAAAACCTGAAAAATTAGTTTAAAAAACAAACCACCCAAATCCCAGGCCGAAACAAACAAAAAAAAAAAAGAGTCATTTAATTAAATAAAAAAGTCCTAATAAATATAATAAAATGTGAATTTATTTTTATTATTTATTTGAATATATTATTTCACATCCGAAACTATTAAAATAATTTATATTTTGTTTTGGCGGGTTGAATAATCCGGGGAGGGAAAACCCCCAAACTTTTGGGGATTTAAGTCCTAATCCTTCTGGAAGATTCTGCCGTCGCACACACTTGACGGACAATTACACGTTTTCAGGTTTAAATGAGGTGTTTTACCGCCGACATGTTTGTTGATAAATATCTCCATGTGTGAAAAAATATTCCATCCTGAAAGTGTGATTTTCCTCCGGTGGAAAGAACGCACTCTGGTTTAGATTTGGGTCGAGGCCCGGATCAGGAGTTCTCCACACACCGAGGAGATCTGCTGTAATAATGTGTCACTGACGGCGGGATTAGAACCTTAGGATGAAAGTCATGGGTTTTCACTCGGTCACATGTTAAAGAGCAGTGAGGAGAGGACCGCTGCCCCCTGGTGTGGGGTCTGGGGGGGGGGGGGGGGGGGGGGTGTTTAATGATGGAGCCTTTTGTTGGGGATTCCCACATTTCCTGCCTGTAATCGTATTGATACCCCGGGGGCAGAGGGGGACTGGGTCCGGACTGGGTGGGCTCTACGGTACCAGCAAAGCTGCAGATGATTTCCCAAATTCATCAGGCATGTCCTGGGATTGGAAACAGGCCCGTGCGCGGTGTGTGGTTTCAATAAAGGCCAGAGCGTCGGCTCCCTGCACGACCGGCGGGACCAGAGCGGGACTAGAGCGGGACCAGAGCGGGACCAGAGCGGGACTAGAGCGGGACTAGAGCGGGACTAGAGGGGGGGCAG